GATGTTGAAGGGTCAACCCACAACCAAACACCATCAACCACCCCATTGCACCCACAACCTCCACGCCTCTCCCGCCCCATCCGCACCGTCAGATCAGACCGATCCTCCAAGCTTCTCGTACAGCGTGGGCGTGGGGCGCAGGTCGGAGAAGTGCCCCGGGACGACGGAACTCCTGGCGTCGACGACGCGGTGCGGAGGCGGTGTGAAGCGGTGGTGTGATGCGATCTGATCAAGTCATCAAAGAGAGCACACCACAGCGGCCCAAGCAGCAAATGTGTCTCTCTGAGTTCGATGTTTGTGCTATGATGGTGGTTTTTTTCATGCCATAGGGATAGTTCCTGCTTAGGCTCGTGCAACCCGGCTGGCTCTTAACCTCATCCAATCCATCGAAGCTCCACCACCCCAAACCCACTCCTGCAGCTCTCCCCACTCCACCTACCTCACTCTGACTTCCTAAACCCCTAAATAGGCCCGAAACATCTCAAGAATTATAAGAATTATCAAACTTCCAAACCATTCCAAACCTCACACTGCTCCCTCCTCCACCACCACCACACCCCACCACTCCTCTGGAGGCCCTTCTCCGTCTCCGTCTGCTTCCGCGGTGCCAGCGGCCCTAAGATCCGCGAGAAGAGCCGCTGCCGTGGCGCCAAGCGCAAAGGCTTGGGTGCCGGCGGTGCCACTGGGATGGGTGGCGCTTTGGCGCAGTGCTCCTGCCGCTGCCGCAAGCGGCGTGCGAAAGTGAAGGTGAAGGGAAGCGATCGTCGCACAGACCTCTCTGCTCACCATCCCAGGTGCAGCCCTAGACCCACCAGCACAAACAGCAGCCCAGGAGCCCCGCTGCGGGATGGGCTGTGTGGGTCAGGGGGTCCTCTTCCCACTGCTTCACCTCCTCAGGGGTCCAAGTGTCCAGCTCCATCACCGCTTGGGCAATCCGCTTCTGATGCTCATGCATCTGCACGCCTGGCAGCTGATCTGCGAGGGCCAGGGGTTGAACATGCGGTTTGGTCATGGATAGGCTCGTGCCATCTTCTTGTTCACATGCCTTTTGGGTGAGAACCCCAGCGGGTAACATACACACCTATTATATTTGGGGGGGGTGGTTAGTATGTAAGTTAGTCACGCCCACCCAACAGGTATGCATGTACGTACATATACTGTATATATGTAGGTATGTCGTATGCATGCCAGCCGTAGAAACATACATATGGGTACGGCAAATGAATTTGTACGTGGAAATCCCATATTTAGGAATATGCATGTTTCCGAGCCCCCCCCGCAGCCACAGGCATGTACGCACGTTACTCCTGCAAGCAGCAGAAAGAAGAGCATGTATGCTTGTTCTGGAAAAAAGCATGCCCTGGATTATTGTGGGTATATATGTTTCTCTGGGTTGCATATATGTTTCCAAACGCTCGGATTCTGGGGTACAAGTGTTTCTCTGGGAAACACACATGCTTCCAAACGGCAGAATTTGGATTATCTATCTATCTATCTATCCATCCATCCATCCATCCATCTATCCATCTATTCATCTATCCATCTATCCATCTATCTATCTACATACACCTGTTCAGGGAACATACGGAACATAAATACTCCAACAGCTGCCATTTGGAAGCATGTATGCTACTCAACTCAGGACCCAAAGCACGGCGGCCACAAAAACTTATGCACCAAACGTCTGCAAACCAAACATGGGCATTCTAGCAAACACTCTGGGTGGGTTGCCATCTGTCTGTGCAGCAGGGGAATGGGGCCAAACCCCCCAGGCCCAAAGCAGCAACCATTGTATAAGTATGGTTGCTACTAGTTGTAGGGCCTATTTCAACGTCACCCCGTATGTCTGTATGTTACCCAGACCCCCCCTCAAAAAAAGAAAATAACATACTGGCCTCAGAACCCGAGCAGTTGGGAGTGGCATGTCACCGAAAAATCATAATTGCATACCATACCTCAACATCCTAAGTCCTATATGGTGTTCCTAGTGCTTTTGGGGGGCAGTGTCAGCACCAAGCCAGGAAGGCGGACAACCATTCCCTGCGCGCCCGTGACGGGCGCGGCAGGTCCCCTCCTGCGCGCGTCAAGCCCTTGGGCAGCATCTTTTGCTGCACCAGGTGTCTCAGCATCTGACCCGAAATCTGGGTCATACCGGCCTTGTACCTTGGTGAGAAGGAGCCATACTGTAGACCTTGTGGATTGATAAGAACACCCCAGATTCCAAATGGGAGGGTCTCATTACAGTAGGGGTTTTGATTTGTTTGATGATTTTTGTCGGTTGGTTCTTGGATGGACTGCTGGGCAGATCCAGTGTAGTGTCCCGCAATCCTGTAGCATGGTACGTCATATCCATGCGCCTGCCACGTCTGCCAGTGTGGCGCAGGTCCACTCGCATTGTGGACTGGTTTGGGACAATAAGCTCTCATTTCTTGCTTGTTTGCAAGCGTTGTCTACGGAAAACTGCAGACTATAATCCTTGAGTAGTAGTAGGGGTGGGCAGGCTAGGGAGAGCGCAACCATTCACTATTTTTGCACATGGTCACAAATGGTGATCCGTGGGGCATCCCTTTGATGGTGGTAGCTGTCCTTTGTCCAACTGTCTGGTCGTTGTCAGTGAGACCTTGGAGTTCGAAAGTCACGGTCCGTGACAAAGAATCGGAACGGTTGCAGAGACCCCGTGGCGCGGGAGGGGGGGTGGGGGGAAGCAGCGCCGAAACCGTGAAGCAAAAGGAAAAGAAACCCACCTCCGGCTGCTACAAAAGGCGCCCCGCGTGGCAATGCCTCCTTCCTGCTCCAAACTTTAACCTTCATTGGCCACAAAAAGTCAGGTGGAATTGCTCTTTTCTGCTGCCTCGGGTGGCCCACAAAAAGTGTGCTATTTTAGAATGGTTCTGTCCATCTTGCACCAAAGACCAGCCAAAAAAACACAAAACACCACACAAATAAGACAGAAAAGGTAACAACTTGCATGACAAGGCAAAGTGTGCAACACCGGCGCAATCAAATTGCACAACAAACACATACAGGGAAGCACAAAGAGCAAGAAGTGGAGAAGCGATGTATGAATCAAGTACAGTATAATGAGCTAAGAAGACAAGAAAAAAATAAAAAGCAGAAAAGCAGAAAGCTGAAAAAGCAAAGAAGCAGACAAGCGAAAACACCTTCAGAGGGAAGCCCTCTTTTTGGTGGAGATCACAGGCAGAAGTGAAGAACGGCTGAAACGGCGCCATGGTGTTGCTGGCCTTTGGGGGTCTGGGTGTGGGCAGCGGATGGAAAATAGCGGAAGGAGGAGGAGGAGGAGGAGGAGGTCATGGCATTCTTGTCGGGACCTGCATGTGCTAGCACTTGGATGAAAGCTTGAGGAACGGAGAGCCTGAGCAGGATGGCTCCTGTTCTTGCAGATGGCCTTTGTTGGACTTACAGTAGAGAGCAGTTTCAGCCTTGCGCTCATGCGTGCAGCTCAAATAGGGAGAGCTCCCAAGAAAAGGGCCCTGGAAGAAGAGAAATAGACCAGTCTGCCCAGCCAGTCGCGATCGGGGGCCTTCCAAAAGAGATGCACACCCCAATAAATATCTATTCGATCCTATATTGGTCTTTAAAAAAATCAAACTAAATCCAGTATTGGTTGGGAGGTCACCCTATCAAAATGCACACCCAACACTGCTTTCAGAGAAGCTGGTCACACTACACCGTTCTCTCCCGTTGACTCGAGTCGTGCCATCGAAGGACTCTGGGAGCTGGCAATAGGTGGCCACAAAGATGCTCACCTCCTCTGCCAGGGAGTGCCGTGAGCAAGGGGCACTGAACAATGGGGTGTGATATTGGGATGTGATCCATACACATCATGAGACACAACGGAACAAAGAACATAGAGTTGAATATAATTATAAGATTGATATACAGTAACTTATGTAATATAAATAGTAATGGTCGTATAAGCAGAGCAGACATTGATCATATTTGCAGGACCTGCAGGTGACCAAGTTGTGTTGTGGAAGCTCAGTCACCCCACATGTGTTGCCGACATTATATCTGCACGAGGTGCATGTGGAAGATCAATGTGTTTCGGGATGCTTCCTGGTGTACGAGTTGTGAGTTGTATCCCGTTCTGCTCAGGTATGTGATGTATAGAGCTGCTTATGAGATGTCTATAGAGCTGCATATGAGATATTCGGCCAATTATTTGACTGACACTCCAAAGGGATGCGCGGTCCATTGCGCACGCTTTTAAAATTAGCTGTGGCCCGACCAACATTGCAAAAAGAGACCCGCGGACATGGTGGCTCCGGCACAATCCAATGCCAGAATTGGGTATCCAAAAGAATACTTTTCAGACATAAATGGCAGGGTAGGGCAGCCCCGTATAGACCCAACCCTAGGTCGACTATACTATACGTGGGACTTCCGCATGCACTGGCCATGAAGCCACAAACGGCCATCGGCCGCTGGTCCTTTCCGCTCCACTGATGCCATGCCATGGGGCGCGAGAGGAAGACCGCAGGCAGCGCGGAGGAGCCGGACGCCCGGAGCACAACCCTTGAGACAGGGAAGCAGAAAGGTTCCTGATACAAGAAGCTCCTGACAAAGGTGTCCATTCAACTAGCCCCCCCGCAGTTTCGGGGGTGTCTACTAGCCCCCCCCCGCAGTTTCGGGGGTGTCTACCTTCAAAAGCCCCGAGACTTAAACACACATGATCCGGGGTGTCCATTTCGTCGCCACCGCAGGTCCTGGGCGCATTTCGAGAGTGAAGCTTCATCACCTGCACATGACCTGTCTCTAAGCCATCACAGTCAAATCGTGTAAACTGGATGCAGAGCTGTAATCGTGTTAACTGAAATCGCCTGAAAATCGTGTTAACTAATCTTTTACCAGTCAAACTGAATCAAGGACTTGTGGGGACTTGTCGTCTTGTCGTCCCAATAGGTTGACCTCCAATTTTCTGGGTCTCAGGTCAGCTACGGCTCCCAGCCCAGCAGCCCCGCCGAAACGAACCCTGCTTCCTCTTGCACTGGCAGGGGCTTCTTGAGCCGCTTGTGCGCCCAGTGATCCAAGAAGCAGAAGTCCTGGTGGTCCAGGTGGTTGCGAAGAAAACCAACGAACTGACGGAAGAGATTCCCGCTCCACGTCTGGGATGGGACGCAAGTCCGGTTCTGAACCAATTCTTTCGAAGGTTCGAGGCCCACGGTCTTGGACCAATAGGGTTTGACCCCAACTGGGGTGTGGCTGTGAAGAGAACAGGCCCGGTGGGGTCATGTTCATCTAAGTAGGATCATTTCTGGGTCCTCGAAATGAGAAAGGCGGCATTTCAACTGTAGACTCTTTGTTCTTTTCTGGACAGTTTTTGGCTTCAAGCTGATTGGCTCATGGTCAACAACAATCGCGAATGGTCAGGAGCTGAAGCAACAGGCAGTTTGCAGGGACAAACTGCTTCTTAAACTCAAAACCACTGCATGGCCTTTGTTTTTTCAGCGCAGTCATGACCATTCTGCGAAGATGTGCCAGCCGAATTCGCTGGATTCCGGCGACGGTGCGGGGCACCTCAACGGTGACGGTGCCCACACCCTTGATGTCTAAGGCCTTGGAAGCAAAGCGGTTTTTTGCCGAATTTGGTCAGCCACCTTGTCTTGGTCTAATCAGGCACCTCCACCCAATCCAAACAAAAGCATACAAAAGCGGGAAAGTAAAATGATGTGACCATGTGGTAAATCATGGAATCATAACATTTCATCAAGGAGTACCCTAGTCAAGTGTTGGCACCCTGTATCCACGCCTATGACTGCAAAGAATGGCTTCCCCCGCTGCTTTTTGGGCCCTTCACAACTTCGGGTGGATCATCCAATCCTCACCTGGATCTTCTTCCACATCATCTCCACTCCTGGTATTGCCGACACCCATCCAAACGCAAGAGTCCGAGTCCTGAGCGCCCCCAGCATCGAAGAGGCACCGTTCCGAGACCGCAAAGCCCCTCGGCCGCGTAATGGCCTGGATGGGGTGGACTGCAATAGGAGCTAGATGGAGGCGAGCCCAAGCTGAATTGCTTTGTGTTTTTGGGGGCGATGATGTTTGGGTGATCTTCGGGACCCACAGCTTCCGGGTGGACGAGTGGGAAGCTAATGGCTCTTGATGGAGGGTCTCGAGGCTCCGAAGGGCGGCGAAGGAGGTCTGCTTCGGGGAGCACATATCATATATGTGTCCTTTCCATCAACGAAAGCATGTCACACAAATCGCATACAAAGATGTCTCCAACAGTTTTGAGACGCTGAAGATGTCCCTGGAGGCTTTCTCGGGATCGTTGTTGCTGAGCCTATGTTTGAAGGTGCATCTTGTATTTGTCATCACTGGCCTGCTCCACCGTACCCAATGGCATTGTCAAAGATCAAATGTTCGTGACGGTGACTGTACTGTACAAGACATTGAATCGCGTCGAGCCCCCCTGCTCATGTTCAATCCACCCCGTGTCTCTTCGGAAACTGTTCAGATATGTTCAGATTGTTCAGATTCTAAGTCTCAAAGCGTCTTCATATGTCTTCATTATATAAGTCTTTCCATGGCCCTGCCTGCTCCTCCATCCATTGTACAAACCTGGGATCGGTTCGCTTCTCCAGCTGCGATCTCGCACCGACGGGGAGAGAGAAGAGAGAAACCGCCTTCGGCGCTTCCCTCCTTGGCTCGTCCAAAACAAGAACGGGTCATTCCGCGGATAGAAACGTTTGTCTTGAAAACTGGTCAAACAAACCTAGAACATGTTCAAGAAGTCTCCAAGGAAGTGCCGAAGCAGCCACCTTGGCCACCTGTGGCCACCCTGGCCAACTTACAAAGGGATTGGCCCGGCCCCGTGGAGACCTGTTCGGATGGACCTCATCTGGACCCCACGTGGGCTGCCACGTGCTCAACTCACACACCGAGCGGCTCCGCGTAGTTCATCCGCGAGGCCCATGCTTTGGGCACCTCCTGCCCCAAGCTGTCGGGACAAACATCGTTCGGAGAGACGGACAACCCTGCCCGGGGCTGGAGAAAATGGTGGAGTGGAGGTCGTTTTCATGCACCATCATCATCGGGCAACGTGGGGTCGACACGCAAAGCATCGGTTTGGGTGGAGCAAAGAATTGCTTGAACCAGGAATTCCTCTTCTTTGAAGATGCCATCTGCCAAAACGAGACGCACTGCAAACAACCTCACTCGTCAGTGACTGGGAGAATCGTTAGGTCGTCCTCTTACGAGTCGATACATGCCACGAGGTCGTTGGAATTTCAGACATGGGGGCCACTTCGTCACACAGCCGGCGAATCACTTCAGGAAGTGCCAGCCTGTAAATTACCGGCGGCGCCTGGTGGACAAAAGAACATTCACCGAATAGATCCGAATAGACCACCAGGGAGATCAACCTCTGAGGGTCAACCGGGCTCGATCTCAGTGAAAAAACACCTATTTCGTACAAGGGTCAACCGGGCTCCGGTTTTGGACCCCTACTGCCCCTACTTGTGAACCTCCTCCAGCTTCTTCAAAAGTGACCTTTCTGGAGTCTCTACGTGACCTTTTACGGGCCTGTTCGTGACCTCAAGCCCAGGGATGAAAAGGTCACTTTGAAGAACCAGGCTTGTGAACTCTGAACCGCAACATGACCAAATCAGCCACACAGGCCACACACCTTCAGCCGAATCGGCTGCCACAGCGGCCACACTGCCCCGTTTGGATCCACTTGGTCTAAAGGTTCTCCTATGACCTCGTGAACGCTTCACGCCCGGCCTCCCATGCCTGTCGAGCCCCGCCCTTGTAAGACTTGAAGAGGCCTCACATAGGTCACCGGCCGAAGGGGCCGAAGAAGAGGCCAAACTCATTCGCAGTGAAGAGCTCTTTTGTTGAAATGATTCCCCGCGCAAAAAGAAACAGAAAGACACCTGAGAAGGGAGATGTAGAACCACTCCTCGTGTTTTTAGAGACCTGTTCATGAGATCGAAGTTTGAAGCGTCCGTAGGGTGCAATGGCGCTGCAAGGAGGTAGGTCCGACATCACTGACCGACATCACCCTACCCCAATTTCCAGAACATGTACGAAGGACTGCCCGAATCAGGTGCGATTTCTGGGATTTTGAGCGAACAACTCCCACAATCCCCGATCCAGGTGCAAAATGGTCCAACCCGCCGTCACCCAATCCACCGGAAGAGCACTTCAGCACCCTCTCTTTTCCCCGTGTTTAAGCGCAGGGCTGGCCCCCTCTCCCGCGGCACACCGCTAAACCACCCCAAGGCGTGAACCCGCCACGGTTCCCAGCATTAAGCGTTACTGACCCCAAAATCCTTCCAGCTTCCAGTTTCACCGGATGATTCTATCAAATTAGATGAGTCCAACTCACCAAGTTCAGTGAGTTGCCTGTGCCATGTGATGGACATTCCTTTTTTCACCTGCCAGCATCTTTGAATACATATGGTCCTGCTGGGCCAGCAATGGATGGTTTCGGGCGAGAGGGGGCCGATCCGCGATTAAAAGGCGGGGCGGGTGAAACGCGACTGAGGCGTGCGTGTGAAACGCGTGGGTGGAGACCCACAGGTTCATGAGCAAAACCTCATTGAAGGCTTGCATCACGTGGGCAAATTTAGCCCAGCTGGCTGAAACTCAGATGGCCACGCGACTAGCTACCTGCCAGGCTTGCATGATGTTTGCTCCCGTGAGCTGCCAGAGAGGCAAGGAAAGTATTGATTCATTAGAGGGGATCAAGACCGGGAGACCTTGGTTGACCTACCCGGAAGTCAAGCTACAAGGTGTTCGGGGCTCCAGGCTTTGACCCGATATGGGATGCCATTCCGAAAGTCTTCAGACTTAGTGGTTCTCATGTTGACTTAGTCCCTCCAAAGGTCGCTGCTATGCTTTGAGTCGGGGAAGGTCGGGCTGTGATCTTTGAAGGTAGAACCCTACCTGCTGGCTACAACTCCGCTGCGGCTCGGCATCAAGTATGGACTGAAGGAAGGAAGAAATCCCAAGAAGCACCTTACATAGATCATGTCTGCATGGCACAGGTACGTATCTAGGGTCCCCCCTGTCCACGGGCTTGGATGTACTTTGATTTCATGAGAAGCTCACGCCACAACTGCACGTTCCATCCCATCGCCCCGGCGGGTGGGCGAAAACACCACGCCTACTGCTCCAGATCTTTCAATTGTCTGGTGAGCTCCTATGAGCACGGCAGCTGGCACTGTGGAAGTGATGATGACAAGTGGAGGTTCAGCAACTGCCTTGGAAAGCCTTCAGAACTACAAAACTGGTGTTGGGGAGGACAAGGAGGACATCCTCAACAGTGGGCTTTAGCCGCTTTAGCCGTTTTGCCAGCCACGACCACGGAGAAGCGTCCCTTGGATGCACCCCGACTCCTCGATCTCTTCCTTCTGCTCTTCCAATTCACCTCGGCTGCACGCGCATTGAAAAACATGGGGCATCGAGCAAAATCCACATGGGTGGAACTGACGAAGGAACTTAACTCTAGGGGCCGCCCTTGAAGGGAAAATCCCCTACCCTCTTGCATTTGGCCCACCAAGGTCGGCTTGTTTTACAACGGGGCCATCGAGTCGAGTCATGGATTCCGAGGTGTTCGGCGCAGCGACTGGCAGGCGAAGAGAGCACGTTGGGCAGCGCACCCTGAAGGCTCCGAGAGGTGTTACAGGAACATGAATGTTTAATCCAACATTCACCCCAGGTGCACGAACAGCCTTGGCTCATGAAAAGAACATCCCAGGGATTCGAGGAAATGAGACAAACATCCATGAAAAGCTCCAAAACCCCCTTAGATGCACCGTCTTCCGAACGCCCCCGTTCTTCCGCTCCTGCTAGGCCCCCCAGGCGTTCTAGGTCGTTGCGGTTGCCCTGGAGGCTCTGCCCCATGTTCGCCAGCTCCTGCGGTGCGAAATCACATCCTGTGAAGCGTTTCGCAATATGCTTAATCGCAAAGAGACCAGGAATGAGTTGATGGAAAAGGAGGTAAGAAGATGTAAGAACTGGAAGGGAAGGACGGGAAAGGAGAAAAGGATCTGGATAAGCCTTCGCAAGCGAAGTGCTCTGTTACAGTATCCAACTGTTGGACCATGATCCTGCCCCACTTGCAGCATTTACGACCCTTTGCGCCCCAGCCTCAGGTGGATTCTCATCATCAATAATCAGGTGCAAAGCCCCCCCTTTTCCGGTAAGTCGCTCCAAAGCTCCGGGCCACTTGGTTGTGGTGAGACCAACCGGTTGACCCACATGGTGGACCAGGGATGCTTGGAACCAGCCAGACCAACTGGATTCCACACCCACCGCGCCTGGAAGCTACACCAACACCGGCACCCCACCGCGGCTGCTCGCACGTGCTCGTCCGGTCGTCCTGCGCTTGCCGCTCGTGCTTCAGCGCATTGATCTCCCGCCGGAGGTCGTTGATCTCTCGGATCAACGAGACGTTCTCCTCGGAGGGTCGGCGCAGCAGAACTCGAACCGCCAACTCACCGCCTTTCGCACATCTGCACGCCCATCGGTGCCGTCCGGAGCGCCGCAAAAAGGGGCCCAGTAGCTCCAAGATGATATTTTTTGCCAAAAAAAGAGGTAGCGAAACTCTGTCCAAAAAAGTTTCTCTAGGGAACCTTTGTAGGCCCCTAACCTCCGGGGATGTGACTCCAGACCGCCCGTGTGTTCTTCCCGTCCTGCATGATGCGCATATTGTCGATGCGGTGGGCCTGGCTGTCCTGGACGAACGTGGAGCTCGACGCCGAAACCGGAGCTCCGGGATCGCCTCTCGCTCTCTTAGGAGATGTAGGGTCCATGGCATATACCACCCGACGCTGGTCTCCGAAATGGAGGGTTGTGAGGCCCTGCTGGAGGTCTCAATTAGTGACCTGTCGGAGAGTGCTGAGATATGCATCACACCCAGTCTAAGACTCCCATGAACACCACCCAGTGACCGAGAGCCGCCCTCGCCACTGCCCACGTCCTTCTCCAACTTCCGCTTCAGGGAGTCCACGGACTTCTCCAAGTAGTCCCGCTGCCTCGCGATTTAACGCGGGAAGACGCTTGGAAGGCGCGCTTTGACGCGCGCGCCCGCTTTTGTGGAGCGGCCCGCCGAACGCCCGCCGCCGGGGGGGTTCGTAACAAAGGAGCGTGAAGGGGCAGGCGCTGAACTGAAGGTGTCTGTTTTCGATGGTGAGACAGACAGGGTGCTTGGCCTGACTGTCCTTCTCTCGTCTTCGCGTTGCTGGCCTGGGGGCCCTGTTTTCTCTGGTCCCATGATGCTCGACGTGAAACATGGTCAACCATCGGAGGCACAAAGCATAAGGAGATTGTAGCCACCGCTGTTGTCATTTCGGTTCGGCAGGTGTTGCTATGTCCATTCTCCTGACTCTCAAACGCTGGAAATGGTAAAAACCCCTCATCACCCCCGCATCTTCAGCCAAGCAGCTACCCCTCACCCCAACCAACAAGCGTATATGACAAGTAACATCTCAAACTCCTCACCCTCAAAATCTATCTTCATGTCCAAACTTGTCCATTTCTTGCCGTCCCCAGCTCACTGGAGCGGTGGAACTCACCACAGGGACGACTGCACCGCAGACTTCGGCAGAGTCATTGAACGGGCGGGACTTGAGGCATCCCAGATCATTCGTTCATCGTCGCTGTCCAGCGTGGGACGTCCCAAAAGGATGTCCCAGAGACCTCCGACTCTGAGGACTACTCCATCCCACACCATTTGTGGGATGCTTTTTCTGGGACACCTCCCCCATCCGCTCCACTCTCTCATCCTTCCGAAGCCCTCACCTATTGTATTCCTTCTGCATGTCGGTATCCAGGTCTTGCCTTTTGGCACCGCCCTGGACATATTTCCTGCCAAGACACGTGGGAGAGAGAACCTCTCCCCACGTGTTAAGTGCGAACATGGCCCAAACGCCGTTGGGGCTCCCACTCTTCAGTCTCTAAAGCAAGACTCCCCTTCTGATTGTTGCGAGGAGGTCGCAACATTCTTGTCTTGCTCCATTCTTGCCTTGTTTCGAGAGAGCTTGACCCTTCATCTCACACATCTTTGACCAGCCAGTGGTCCAAACACCCTTGTATATTCGCACATGGAGTGACGAGATGGCTCATGCCGCTTTGAACAAAGGCAATTCTATGAATCTCCCTGAGATGGTCTTTGTACGTGTTTGTTCATTTGTGTTCTCCGTTGCCTCAACGCCGGCTCGTGCCACTTCCTACAACGGTTAGACTTCCTAACGGTTGGGTCCTGACGGAAGAGAACCATCCTCTGATCTGGGCCAAAAAAACAATCAAGAAAATAGGACCATCATGTCTTTCACTGGCTCAGGATCCACCACGTAGCCCGCGTGCCGGGTCCTATAGAGGGCAGTGACGCTCTCTTTCAGAGCCTTGGGCTCCGAGATGGTCTCTAAGCCTCGCCGACGGAGCCGCAGCACGAGGACTTGCGGAAACCGCAGAACGAGGACAACGCCAGAAACGAGGACCGCTGCAGTTGGGCGCTTTTCGAAGGTGGATGCAGTTGGGAAGCGGCTTATCTAGACTGGACTGCTTTTGGGGGGGAAGTGTGTGATGAGACTATATACGTACCCAATCTCGCGGTCGGATTGGCTCTGTTCCTCAGCTCCCAACAGTCGCTCAAGTCGAGCTTGAAGCGTTTGATGAGAGCCAAGTCTTCTCGAAGCTTCCTCCGCATCACTGTCTTCCGGAAAAATAACGTCACCAGCCGCTTTTCTGCATTGATGCTTCAGCTCGGGCGTGTCCGGGAAAAAAAGAGTGGAAGTTCCTTAGACACCTGCCCTTTCAA